GCGGCGATTAGTTCAAAAGAATCACAAACATGAACTGGTATGGTTCTTTGTCAGAGAAACTCCTCGATCCAGTCCAGAACCAACCCTCTTACTCCGTAGTTGTCGAGTTTTCGCAGTAGAATTTGGTGATTTACTCGATCAAATGCTTTGGAGAAGTTCAAATAAACAATGTCTTGCATCCTTGGATTTTGTCCACTCATCTCGTGCAAGAAGTAGATTTGTGGTGCACGGACGACTGTGCCGAAATCCGTGCTTAGTTGGAGACAAAAGCTCATGCTTCTCCAGATATATCCATCAACAGATCTGCCACAACAGCCTCCATGACTTTCGACAGTATCGGAAGAAGTGTAAAAGGGCGGTAGTTGGCGGGATCACTGGGAGATTCCCCTTTGTAAATGGTGAAATCACCCCGTCCTTCCATGAATGCGGAATTACCGCCTTGTTGAAGATCCTTTGGTACAGAACAACAAGAGGTTCTGATATGTCATTGACTAGTGATATGAGAGTCCGAGGATGGATGTTATTTTACGCACAGTTAGTAGTTTTCCTCTTACCGCTTCACCGCCAGAAGCCATATTAACCAGTGACGGATATGGTATGTATACAGGGTAGTATGCTTGGAATCTGTAATGCATTCTATGTTATTGCAGTGAACACCTGATCGAACTGGGTTTTGAGGAACTCACCTTGGTTATACAGTTAATATGTTTATACAACAGTTTCGGATTGGAAATGAATTTTGGAGCCAGGGTTTCTTGGTATATCAGTTTGCTTTCTCACAAAAACTTGGCACATTGGCAGAGAGAGTTGTCTTCATGAATAAATACAAGATCCTTGAAAGTAGCTTGTGCCATTCCCGCGGGTTTGGCGCGTTGAACGAGTCAAGTTCAAACGGGAAGAAGAGAACCCAATTGACCTCGTCCAATTGTTGTTGCTGTTATCATTGAAATTCAAGAGGATCAAAAAAAAGGGACTGACCAAATCTCTTGCACGGCCTGCGCACTGAAGGTGATCAGCCTTGTACGGTGTATGCGTAGTTGCGACACAGAATCGGATGCGCGCGCAGCGACAGTGGAATGTAACAATCTTGAACGTGAATTCAACTCAATAAATAGCTATGAAGAAGGAACTGTGATGAGTGTGAGCGGGTTGTGTTTATGGTGGTTGTTTGACGACAGCGAACGTTTGGCGCAAGACGATAGCGTTTTTGCACATCTGCTGTAACGCGGCAAACACAGTGCAAGTCTGGACCTGAGAACAATATGTTTATTGCTCTTAGAACCTGCGACCGGATAATCGATCTTTTCACTATTATTATTATTGACCTCGCCAATCCCTTTAGAAAATTCAAATATGACGTTCGAACCATGGTACGCAAGGTTTGGCCTCGTTGAGCACCATCGATGCCAGCTATATCTTACCTCGCAAAGCAACGGACATACAATTCTCAGAAACAGTGTATTGCCTTGCCAAAATATGCAGTGCTCTTGCTTCGCCGTTTCATACACGACATCTTTGCCTCCATGTAACGAAGACACTCATAAGATTATGTGAGATATGAGGGGAGAGGTA